CTGCTGTGAACATGTGTGTTCTTTTTGAAATACAAAGTTGATATACTCTCCCCTTCTTAAAACTCTTTGGTGGCCTCCAGGTGCACTTAGAATAAAATAAAAATTCCTATTTTCTATTTCTATTTCTGAATCTTATTTCTAGAATCCCTGACCAGTCTGGCTTCTGATCTCATCTTGTGCCACTTTGCCCCTCATTCACGATGTTTTGGTCATGTACCCTCCCTTCAGTTGCACAAACCCAGTGCTCACGTCCCTTGCATCCACATACAGTTCTTCCATTTCAAGAGCTCTCACCCTTTTTCTTTGCAGTCTGGCTTCTTCTCACCCTTCAAGTTCAGCTTTAACATCTGGAGCATCACCAATTTGGTCCTGGATTACTGAAATTGGCTTCCTAATTGGTCTTCCCATCCACCCAAGCGGCCTTCCCTGACCACCAGACCTAAGTCGACCTCCTGTTATTCTCCATTACTATGCTCTATTTGTTTCTTGGTCAGATTTATAGCAATATATGTGTCTGTTTGCTTGTTGTATGCCTTCCTGACCTTATCACAAGCCCACTGGAGGCTGAAAACCATGTCTGTTTTTGTCACCACTGTATACTCAGCAAGTTACCAGGAGACTAGCACTTATAAGGTGCTGAACACATTTTTGTTTAATAAGTAAATAACATTAGCTCTATCTTATAGGTGAAAAAACTGAATTAGAAAGAGTTAACAACTTACCAAAGTGAAATATTAACTACAGAGTAGACATTTGAACCCAGTTCTCTTACTGCAAAGTCCACACTCCTTCCACTATACAGCACTCCCTCTCTCAGCTGAGGTTAGATTCATTTTATTAATCAGAATATCAAATATTATACTCCTTCCTTTATTCATTCAATATCATAATAGTGCTTTCAGTGCTTACCGTGTGCCGGGCACTGTGTTAGATGCTGGATACACAAAATTGAGGAACGTATATTTTCAGGACCAGTAGTTCTCCTTTTAGTTTCTCACTCTCAGCTCCAGTGACATTTTGGGTGGGATAATTGTTGTGGAGAGTTGTCCTGTGCATTGAAGGATGTTTAGCAGCGTCCCTGGCCTCAACCCACTAGATGCCAGAAGCACTCCCCTAGTTATGTCAATCAAATATGCCTCCAGACATTGCCAAACGTCCACTGGGGGCAAAATCGTCCCTGGTTGAGAACCGCTGCTTTAGTGAGAGAGTCTCTCATAAGTCAAAGATTTCATTATGGTGGCCAAGTGCTGTACTTGAGAAAAGCCTAGATGTTCTAGGGGCACAGGGAACAGATGTCTAATTGGACCGAGAGTGGACGTGAGCCTTGGGCTGATGCTTGGACCAAGTTTCAGACAAAAAGTCAGAGTCATTTAGATAAAAGAAGGCATGAAGATTTTCCCAGTTATGGGTCACAGCATGCGCAAGGGCTAGAAAGTGTGCAAGTCAGGGAATCGCGTGGATTTAACATGGCTGGAGTTCCCTGGGGCTGAGACCTGAGGCAGGAGTCCAGGGCAGAGCTGTATCTGCCAGGACAGAGCAACCCTGATTTTACTTCTCCATCCCCAGTCCATCTATTTGCAGTTTTTCCAATTCATATTTGGAAATTGTCTGTCTGCACTTAACAAATCAGGGACCCCAGCCTCCCAAGGAAATCTGATGTCAACTCCGTGGAGGGCTTTTCTTGCAAGACCTGCTGTACCTTCCAAGCCCAAGGCCTGAATAATGCACTGGAAATCCATACAGAGAAGGGCAGAGATGGGTTTTGAGTTTCAGGGCTGAACTTTGCCTTGCAGTTGATTATCCTTTAGGGTCTTGGATTTCAGGCAACGCAATTAAAGAAGTAAGCTGATCACCCACTTTGCTGGAGGAAGAATTCCATAAGCCTCTTAGGTGCAATGGCTCTGAGTAATTCAGAGCTGAGGTTTCTGACTTGTGCCCGACGCATCTGGATTCCTAATGCCTTTGGAACCCAAGTCTTATAAACCGTCCTCCGTGACCAATGGGGTATTAAGTGAACACAGCCAAAGCAGTTCAGACTGTTAGAGGTTGCAATGAAGCATTTAAATGCCAAAGAAGCACATCCTAAATCCCACCACAGATAGAACCAAGAGAGTCCTCTCATTATCTTTCTGATAGTCAGCAGTTATGCTGAGATTTCAAGTTAGAACACAGTGGCTGTCATTAATTTTGTCTTGCTTAGTTTATCTAGAATTAAGCTTCTCATATACTTATCTCCTGCAGAGGTTGAGTTCAATGACAATGGTGAGTGTTTGAGACTAGCATTAAGAAGTATTGTAAAATAATATATAAATCCCAAGAACTCATCTCAGTTCATTTAAAAAAAACACTTTCTTCGTGGCCCAGGAAATTTTATCCATCCTTTTCACACATGTCATTAGCCTTCTAGTGCTTCTGTAGAAAGAGGATTATTTACCAAGATAATGATGACAGCCAGCATTTACTGAAGGTTTCCTGCATCCCGCATCCCAGACAGTTGGCTAAGCACTTTACTTGCAGCCTTTCATTTAACCCTTAAACAACCATGCACAATGAGGGCTCGTTGTCATGATTTTGTGTGTAAGGAAGCTGGGGCCAGAGAGAATGAGTTATGTGTCCTAGGTCACATGACAGGGGTGTGTGGTGGGTTCAAAGATAACCAAGCAGACAGTCCAGTGGGTAGGGAGGCATGGAAACATAGTTTCCACACAGTGTGTTAAAACACTGTGACAAAGAAAAACCCAGTGTGTCTTTGGAGCAAACAGAGAGTACCCAATTTCCAAGAGCAGATGCTCAGACAGTTTTAAAGAGTAGATGGGAATGAGGCCACCTGAGAAGGCAAAAAAGGGCACTGCAGGCTAGAGGACCTGTGCATACCAGGACATGCAGGAGGGGGCTTGGAGATGGGCAAGGGGCTTGGTGCAGAAGGAATGACAGATCCGCTTGTTGATATAGCAAGACATGTAGGCAGGAGCCAAGGAGAAGAGGGCCTGAGAAGTGACTGTCCTACAGTCGCCCTTTTACTTAGTTCATGGGTAGGAAAGCCTTCTGTGTGTTCAGTCGACTTCCCACCTTGTCCAGTTTTAGCCCATGGACCCTGATATATTCTCTGTCCTGTTGGTCATTCATCCAGGACCGGTCAGGAGACCAGCATCCTTTTCACACATGTCGTTGGCCTTCTACTGCTTCTGTAGGAAGACGATTATTTACCCAGATGTTGTGTCTTCAGGTTAGGGAACATGGAGCTATCTCAGTACTGGAGTTTCTCTGAATTTACCCTGGGCAGGTTATTAATATAACAGTGCTGGATGAGAGAGAACAGTCCAGAGAGAGTCAGGAGTAACAATTGTTATCCATATTTCAATTCATTCATTTGTTAACCAAGTATGTCTTAATCCTTCTCTATGCCAGGCTGAAGACAAGAAACTTTTCAGATATTCTCGTGTATAATGCTCCCCAAACCTCTGTGAAGCAGATGTTTTAGGCCCACTTAACCAGTGAGGACCTGGTGCTCAGAGAGCATAGGGTACCTGCTTGGCAGGGGGCAGCAGCTTCTGGCGTGAAGCACATGGCTGCCGTAACCAGACACACTCTCAAGAAATACTAAATTATCTCAGTTCCATGCAGAACTGATTCGACAACCCATATTCATTCACTGATTCATTTATTCCTCAAGTACATGGCACACCTACTGTATACCATGCCCCGTGTGGGGTGATGGAGAGGAAGCCACTAAGTTGAGTACATTGCTTTGTGAAAACATGCAGTGCGGCTCTCTCTGGCATGTACCACACAAAAAGGGTGAGGGACAGAGGCTGAGAAATAGAAGGAATAAATTAATATTTATAGAGCACCTATTGCATACCAGGATCTATGCCAGATCCTTGACAAACATCATCTCATAGCAACGGGATAAAGCCGGGATGCTTATCCCTATTTTAACACTGAGCTAAATGAGGCTCAGCAGGGTCACAGGTTTGCCCAAGGTCACCTGGATGGTAAGGGATGGAGCTGGACTTCAAGTCAAGGTGCAGCTGGTTTTTGCAACTTTATGTTGGACGGATTAACCATTGTTTATGCCAAGAACGTTTTTGGCAACGTGATGAAGTCCAGGGACCCTTTCTCAGAATAACAATTTTGAATCTGTAAATAAAATGCATACAGTTACAAAAGAAACTGATTATATTGAAACATAATTATCACAATATTTAAACCTTTGATATGCAGTCATATGTGTGCTTCTTTGTGATGAGTCTAATGACAAGACCTCGTGGCAGGTTGAATACTCCCATAATTTTGAAGCAGTAACGAGCATGTGTAGCAAGTCCCAGAGACAACAGGATATAAAATGATCTGTGATTTCTGTTGTGGAAAGTCACAGGATATGACTGGGGCGTTGAAGGTATTACTGGGGTTTATTACCTACATTCATAATTGAAGGACATTCTAAATTCAGTTAGAGGTTGGTAATGTTTTTTCCATCCAAGCCCAGGAGCCCCTGCTAAGTTCTATCCACGGGAGGTGTCTGTGGACGCTGGTTTACACTACTGCTTTATGTAATTTATGTCATTCAATTCTGTTCAAGGAACATTTGATAAGGCTTTTTCTGTGTAAGTCTCTATCTGGGCACCATGGAGTGGTACAAAGGAAGTTATTGATGCAGAGTAGAGGGGAATGGAGAAGGAACGAAGCTTTGCTGCATACTGCTATGAACCAGGCGTTTTCCATCCTGTATCTCATATAAGCTCCACTTAAGCATACTAGGAAACTAAAGTTCAGAGAAGTTAAGAAACTTGTCCAAGGTGTAACAGCTAGTAAACTGTCGAGCTAGGATCTAAACCAAGTCCTGTCCCATTCTGAGTTGCTAAATCAGATTGAGCACTGAGGGCAGGCCGTCCCTTTCACGCGTGGAGGAGGATGTGTGAGTCTTGATGGAGAGGGACGGGAAATTACGAGAGCCTGCACTCAAGGAGGAAAATTGTTCACTTTTGCTTATTTTGTAGCCAAAAGCTGGGTCTCTTGGATCGGGTTCGCCTTTCTAATCCTCGTGGTAGCAATACTAAAGGCAAGCTATTTACCCCTCTGAATGTAGATGCCATAGAAGAAAGTCCTTCTAAAGAACCAAAGCCTGTTGGCTTAAACAATAAAGATCGTTTCCGCACCGCCTTCCGCATGAAAGCCTACGCTTTCTGGCAGAGTTCTGAAGGTAATGCCTTTCTTCTCCCTCACCCTGTCTCCTCCACTTCTCCCTCCTCCTTCCTCTCCTGCCTCCTTCCCCTATTGAAGAACTCTCCAGTCTACAAAGTAGCCTGTTTCCCATCCTCCCTGAACCAACTTGTTTCATCTTATTCTCATCTCCTGGGCTGGAGGCATCTGTGATGTAGCCCCATAGCTCATAGCAGGGGGCTCCCAAGTTTTTTCTGGTCCAAGATCACCACGTTGGTCAGCACAGAGGCCTCCAGGGAGCCTTGGGACATATTACCACCATTCCTAAGGGTGGCCATGATGAGTGTGTGGCCATGGAGGTCAACTTGAAGGATGAAAAGAGGCCAGATGTAGAGTGAACTGGAGACCTGGGGACCTCAGCACCCCCAGGGGGTGGGAAAAGCACCCTGCAGGGGCTGTGGGAGTAATAGCCTCTGTGTGCCCCTTTCACTTATGAAAAGGGAGGACCAGCAGGGCTCAGAAAGGGACCCCTCCAAGGTCACAAGGATAGTGACTGATAGAGCAAGAATCTGAACTCAGGTCTGTCTGACTGTAACGCCCAGCACATGTGCCCTTTGCTGCCTTCAAGGGGCTATTCAGGAAACCCAGAACTCATGTCACCTTCCTCCTAGCCTTCTCCCCCTGTCCTGAACTTCAGGCACCTCTAACTCAGACTTCTGGGTAATAGAACGGGATGCTAAGAAAGCCCGAATGACGTCACAACTGGAGAACACTGTGGGCTTTCTGGAAGCAGGAACAAAGACTCTGGAGGTTGAGCTTTTAAGGCTCTGACAGAATGGGGTCCCCAAGCCTTTCCAAGTGCTGTGGCCTGACGTTGATATGTGTCTCCCACCCAGATGCCGGGACGGGTGATCCCATGGCGGAAGACAGGGGCTACGGAAATGACTTCCTCATCGAAGACATGATCCCCACCCTGAAGGCCGCCATCCGGGCTGTCAGGTAACGCACCCCTCCACACACACCATCACCACTGTGGGCCTCCCTGGGCCCCAGCTCATCTCCCACGGGACGTGGCTTTGTAAGGTGCTCTTGGGCTCTTGGAAGGTGGGCAAGAAGCCCCTCAAGTAACCCCTGAGACAGGTCCAAAGAGTATGTCAATATTCGATGGGAGATGCTGCCTTAAGAAAAATGATTCCTGCATCAGCAAGTCATCATGGTGACTCTTGCTCGCCTCTTTCTGAAACTGCTCCCACAGGTTCCTGACAGTATTTCCAGCTGTCACACTCTTGTGTGGCTTTGGCCACTATCTATTTTAAAGGATGTTGGGGCAGGGGAGTGTATTGACACGGAGTTTTCTTCCTTTATAGGCTTCTTACTCAACATAGCTTTTCTTTGTCTAGCTTCATCCATCTAGTTCTTTTTAATTAGCATTTTTAACAAGATAATCAATTACAGGATTTTTTCGTCCAAATCAGTCAAGACTACAATCCACCCTGGCTATTTCTGTTTTGCTTTAGAATTTTATAAGAAAATAAAAATGCTACTACTTAAAGAAAACTTTGATTAGAATATGGGCTTATAAGCACTCCACAATGGTGGCAAGGAATTCTAGAAACTAAGTTGGATTCTCCAAGAACTAGTCATGATATTTTCAGCAAGATTCCCAGTCCAATCAATCAAGGAATCTCAGAAGTGTTATAGTATGTGGACCTCAGCAAAGCCCTTGACCTGGTTTCTCATGACACCATCATGTAGAATGTGACAGAAGCACAGCTGGATGACAACACAACTGTCTGGGTTCATAACTGGTTGAATGATCTTTTTCAAAGAACACCAGTGAATGAATCTGTGTCAGCCCACAGGGAGGTCTCTACTGGGACACTCCCTGGTCTGGCTTCTGCTCTGTCCTTTTTAGCATTTCCATTGATGCCTTAGTTCAGGGCTTGGCAAACTTTTTCTGTAAAAAGCTAGATAGTAAATATGTTAGGCTCTGCGGTCCATAGGTCTCTTTTTCAAGTATTCAACTTTGACTTTGTAGCACAGACAGTACACAAAGCCATAGACAGTACACAAATGAATGGGTGTGGCTGTGTTCCAACATAACTTTACTTTCAAAAATAGGCAGTGGGCCAGATTTGGCCCTCAAGCCGGAGTTTGCTGACACCTACCTTAGATGGATCTCTGTAAAGGGCAGGCTTATAAAATAACACAAAGTTGAAAAGGATGGCGAGTAAATTGGATGGTATAATCAGCATGCCAAATAGTGTTTAGAGGTTGGAGCCAGGGGCTATGACAAACAAAATGAACTTTGAATGCACCACAGATAAAGAGGTACAAGTACGAGATGGGAGGGCCTGGGGTAGGCAGTGTTTCCTTATCACTGGGCTGTGATTAGGGGTTTTAATTGACACTGTGCTCAGCAAGAGTTGACCTTGTGATGGGGTTTTCAAGGAGCATTAGCCATCTGGGGTGACTTTATTGGCTGCCAAGAAGATGGAGGTGAGGGTTTGGCATCTGTGAGTTCTGGGTGTCCTATGTTACTAAGAACCTGAGAAAACTTGGGACAAAAGCTAGTGTCTCTTTTCTAGAAGCTCATAAGCCAAAGAATTTAAAAAGCTATTGAGGAGGAGAGACATCAGCTGTCCTCAGATAGAAAGCAGTGTGACACAGTGATTAAGTGCATGGGCCTTGTCAGCATACAAACCTGAGTTTGAGGAAAGCTCTGACATTATTAGCTAGATGGGTCTGGGAAGATGCTGACGCTCTCTGTACCACAGTCTCATCATCTACGAACTGATCTGTTAGCAGATTGTTCATAAAGTAATTAGCTCAGTGTCTGGCCTGCAATGAATGCTCAATACATGTTAGTTCTCATTGTCACTATGATTTTCTTATTATTCAAATGATTGAAGGGAGGTGCTCATGAAGGAGAGGCACTAGCCAGCCTAATTCTATGTGGTTTGAAGGGGTAGAATCAGGACCAAGAGTTGGAACTTCTTCCCGACCAGTTTTCTCTTTGGTTCTCCCCTCACCTCTGAGTTTGCTAGTCTTATATTATAGTTTCCTTCACTCTCTACTCACGATGCACAAATGTCTCTACTTCACCTTACAGAATTCTACAATTCCGTCTCTATAAAAAAAAATTCAAGGAGACTTTGAGGCCTTACGACGTGAAGGATGTGATTGAGCAGTATTCCGCAGGACATCTCGACATGCTTTCCAGGATAAAGTACCTTCAGACAAGGTAAGTGAGTCGCATCTGGAAGGTGTATGCTCTCCTGACTGCTGAGGAATCAAAGCCAGGTGAACCTTAGAGCTGAGGGTGAAAGGCATTCAAAAATGATCCATAATTCAGGGGAAAGATTTTATGAACAAATATAGTCATCAAACATTATGGATGTCAAGGCCAACCAGCACCAGATCAAACAGGCTGTGAAGAAACTCTATGACATTGACATGGCCAAGGTCAACACCCTGATCAGGCCTCGTGGAGAGAAGGCATGTGTCTGACAGGGCCCTGACTGTGATGCTTTGAATGTTGCCAACAAAACTGGGATCATCTAAACTGAGTCCAACTGGCTAATTCTAAATATAAATTTTTCACCACATTGAAAAAAATGTTCAGCAAGTGTTATTTATAATAGCGAAAATATGGAAACAGCATCAATGCCCAACTAATAATTGCCACCAATTTATTGACCACCTGGGTGCTCTACCTATTTGTGTGTGATCCCTTATAACCCCCTAAGGTATTGCAATAAAGCTGCCATTTAACCAGTGAGGAAACCTAAGCTCAAAGGGCAAAGGAATTACCCAAAATTACCCAGCTAGTAGGTGGCAAAGCTGGAAGTAAAACCAGGTCTGTTTCAAATCTCCTGTTCTTTCTAACACACTACACCTCCTCAATTATCCAGCAGTGATCAAGAGAAGAATGGCACCTGTTCTCACTAAAATGAGCCATCAAATGACATAGAAAATGTATATAATGAGATCAAAGAATTATATGATCTGTGAATATATATGCATAATATGATGACTAGTAATACATTCAGACATATATCTACACTTATACATGTACATAAGTATATATTTATATGTATATATATCATTATATACATATATACACACATACACTCTGCTAGACTTGTGGTGATATTAACTAATATATATGTGCAATATGATTACAAAAACATACGCATATATGTTTACTCAGAAATGTACACAACACACACACTCTCCCATATAGGGGGCTGATAATAGGAGTAGGACTTCCGCCAAGGGGTTATAGTGGCTGTTCTGAGATGATGAGTCCAAGTGTGATTTTTTTTTTACTTTAAATTGATCAAACCATTAATGATTCTTTAAAAAGATAAACCATTAAAAAAAATAAAGGACAATGTGATGTCAAGAAACATAGAGGAGACATCAGGAAACCAAAGTCCTCTTTGAAGCTTGTTCTCTGACCTGTGTGAGATTTCAAATTGACACAAGTCAAGTTGTCTCTGGACCTCAGTTTCCTCATCTGAACAATGTTGTGTCCTACAGAGTTAATAGGACCATCATGTTGCATGAGTTGGAAGTTGACGGTGCTGTTGGGTTGGAGGAATTCTTATCTGTGACCTTACTTTATCAGTAACTGGAATATCAGTGGTGACTGCCTACCATCGTGGCAGGCACACAGTCGATGCTCAATGCTTGGTGAACGAATGGATGTGTGATCAAATGAATTCTGAGCCTAACGTGTTGTTATTTATGCTCAGAGGAAGGGAGCATGATGTCTAGGACATACCAGACTCCAAAAATATCTGCCCCAAAAATATCTGCATAGAGTGGACATTGACACTGTCATCGTTTTTGATATTTGTCAGGAAAATATGTTTCTATGAGTCCTGGCTGGCTGCTGACCACCTGGGTGACTAATTGCATATCCGCAGCTATGCTGATACTGGAGTAGCCAGAGAGAAAGGAAGGGCAATTTAGTACACGATAGTGTCAAGGGAGGAGCAGCCGGGTTGGCAGAGACAGAGTGATCCATGGCTATGCCTGGGTGCATGGTCTTAGTGTTCCTGGACCTGTGCTGAGCCATCAAGGCTGCTTCCACCCCCCAACCCTGCCCCAGCTTTGCAGTGCAACGGGGGGCATTTGTCTCCTATTGTGCTCAGGAGCAGCACAAATGGGGAGCTGGTGCCTCATGCAGAAATGGAAGCAGAGTGCAGGAGCTAGTGTCAGATCCATCCCTCTAATGATCAGAGAAGCCTGCAGAGGGAGATCTGCACAGCTAAAAACGGACCCTAGGATTTCGCAGGAAAAACTCCCTAACTCAATGTTTTGGAATAAAAGAGCTGGAAGACCTGATAGACTTGCAGCACACATGACATTTCCTGTAAGAAATAACAAGATCAGCCCTCACTCTGTCTCCGTGGTTTGGCTGCCTGTCTCTCCCCTGGGGTGGGGAGATGCTCTCGGTACCACTGGACAAAAAAGAAAGATAATAATATATTGAGATAATAAATTGTCTCTCTCTTTTCTCTCTGTCTCTGTCTCTGTTTCTCTCTTTCTCCCTCTCTCCTTTCTTCCTTCTCTTATATATTCTAAACTCAGACCTGACTAAAGAGGGAATAGAATGAATTGCATTCCGTTTTTATACATAAAGCTCTTTGTAATTTAATTCTCCCCTTCATGTGTTCTCTTTCAGAATAGACATGATTTTCACCCCTGGACCTCCAACTACTCCAAAACATAAGAAGTCTCAGAAAGGGGCAGCGTTCACCTACCCATCCCAGCAATCTCCCAGGTGGGGCGTGTGGCCATGGACAGACAGGCTGAGTGGTGCCAAAGCCCGTGGAGCATCCCTATCCCCAATGTCACCTTGGTTCCCTTATGGTTGGGTGAGGTTGCCATTCCCTTAAATAAAATGAAGAAGAGTTTGAAGCCTTTTCTAGTTTGTGGCCATTTGGAAGGTTTCTGTACAAAAGACTTACCGCCCCTCTTCCCAGACTATATGGTGACACTTCTTTTTACAGTTATTGAAAATAAAAATAATGATTTCCTTGTTATGAAATAAGAGGAGACTGATGAGTTTATTGGAACAGAAAGAATCTTCATGTTAGCAGAGCCCAAGGCGTTCCTGGTCAGCTGTTCTGACTTTTCCTGCACGGTCACCCCTGAGTTGATTGATTCTCCTCCCAGGACAAAGCCTGAGAAAGGAATCAGATGCCAGGCCCCTGACAAATTTGTAACGGGTACAGCTTTGTCCCTCAGCAGAGCAGCTCTGCTCTCCCCCAAAAAAGGTTTGAAAATTTTCCTTTTATAGGACCTGAAGAACAAACAGTAGTCCTTTAGAAAGTCTACTGCCTGAATTTACATTTCTTTATTCCCAAATGTCTTCAAGGCAGATAACATAAATCAGTGAAGAGTCAGGCTTAAGAACTTCTATGTGTCTTATAATAATGAATCTCATTGTTATAAAAGAAGCAAGGATGTAAGTGTGAAGATATAAGACATCTACTCTTCAGCCTCAACCCTGGGGGTAGACTAGGGGCTGGTAGACCAGGGGACCTAAAGAGCACGCGCCCCATCCAAAGGAGGTAATTGTTACTCTGTTTCACTGTTGCTAATTTTAGGAATGAAGATCCTCTGTTTCCAGATAGTCTAATTTTTCCAGAAAAGCTGAATATCCAGATTTTATGTGAAACTCCCCATTTTTGACATAGCTTAAATGTTTTAAAACCCTGTACAGATTAAGGAAAACACCGGTGGGCTGGATTTAGCACACGACCACCAGTTTTTGACATCTGCTTTAATTCAAGATGGCTCAGCCAAAGACAGGCCAGGGACTTAGTGGGAGATGGTAGTCTGTGAGAGGGAAAATCAGCTACCTAGAAAGTGCCCAACATTAATGGTTTTGAGGAATAGCTAGCCTCCCTGAAAGTTCTCTTATACATAGAACATAACAATGTTGAAACTCACTGGAATTTAGGTGGATATTAACTGTGTACAGCTAAGGAGCACTGCAGAACACATCTCAATTCCATTCCCCACCAATGTCATCTTTTGCATCATTTTCCAGGTCCAGCATCTATTTGCCACTCTTAACAAAATGGAACAGATGAAATATTGATATCCACTGTATAGAATTTCAGATTAGACAACCCCCATCCCCCTACCTGCCCACACACACACACACACACACACACTCAGAGTAGAAGTACTCAACCAGTAGTCTGAGACTGAAAGGCAAAGGAATGTGATTTAAAGGAATTAAACACTCTAGGCACAGTTAGGTGCTTTATTAGCTTTGACACAAAGCCTCCTATGGAAGCTTAATAATTGGCTTCAAATTTTCCTGCAGTGAAGGTAAGCATGGGACACCAGTGTTGAAGTCGAGAAAATGCTGGCGTTTCCTGATTCACATGCACCTCCAAAGTTAAGTGGCCTCTTCCGGACTGCATAAACATAAGCATGAGTGTGATGAATCCAAGGGCCATGGCCTGCCTAGCCAAATGACCTTGCAAAGCAAAAACAGATATAACAATCATATAGAACTGTTGGCTCTTTCCTAGGAATGAACCATATGTAGCCAGAGCATCCACATCAGAAATTGAAGACCAAAGCATGATGGGGAAATTTGTGAAAGTCGAAAGACAGGTAGGTCTTTCCTTTCCCTCACCAAAAAAACAAGTGTATAAAATTTATTTTCAAATGTCATTTTTTTAGAGGGAGATAACATACTTGAGTATTTACCATTCAAAAAAAGATGTGGAAATTAAACCCCTGATTTAGCACTTTACTGGCTGGGTAATCATAGGCCAGTTAATTAATTGTCTTCAGCCTCAGTTTCCTCATCAGTAAAATGGGGATTTTAATACCTCATAAGTTTGCTGTGAGGATTAAATGAATTGATATGTGTAAGTTAACTGGAATAGTAGCTGACACACAATAAACACTCCACAAATGGGACCTACTGTATCATGCGCTTCCTGGTGTTCCTTCAAGAAAAGTGAGTTCCCTTCCCCACATTTCCTGTATCCTCAATCCTCCCGCCCTCAAAACCCAGGTCAGTGAGGACTGTGTGAAGCAGGCTATGGGTGGGGTTCATTCACTCACAGAGAACCCATTCCCTTACAGCACCCCATGTAGCTCACCTCCCAATTCCTCAGTAAAGCAGCTTATATTTTTGCACAGTTTGTGTAACTTGACACTAGATAAATGGCACTGTCAATTTCCTTTAGGATCCCTATCAATTCTTTTATTTTATTCATAACCCAAAATTGGATCTGTGCAGGAAAGAAGAGAGAAAAGTTGAATGATTATTCTTTTCTGGCGTATCAAGAATATCATTTTTCATTTTTAATTTATAATCTCGGCTCTCCCATTTACCAGCTCTGGGACCTTGGACAAATTACTTCATCTCTCTATGCCTCTGTTTGCTCACCTGTAAAATAGAGATAATAATAGTATTCACCTCAAGGGTTGTTGGGAAAATTAAATGGGTTAATATATTTAACATGCATAAAACAGTCAGGTGCTCACTAAAAGCTATATAAGAATTAGTTACTGTTAAGTCTTGGATGGCATCTCAGCCATTACCTGGTGCTCTGCTTCACAACCTTATCTGTAAGAGGGGATGATGTACCTGCCTGCAGAGCTTCCCGGTGAGTTATGAATTGTGAGGGAGAGAACATCACACACACACATGCACGCACACCTGTGTATATGGACTCACAAAGATTCAAATAAGGTCCCCATTTTGTAGGTAGGAGCAGATGCAGTTTATCTCAGTCTAGCTTCCACTGGCCTCCAGGTGCCTAGGCAGGGTCTCCAGTTCTGAGAAGCTCAATTCCTGCTAACCACTGCCCTCATCTCTTTGGGGCTTACATCACCCCGTAGGAGAAATAAACACTAACAGTTCACATGCTTCTGTCTAAGAATGTCTGCAAATCAAGAACACCCACTCCTTGACCCAAACAGCAGCAGAAAAGCCACTTCCTCCTCAGGTGAAACTTGTCCTCGAACCATCTCTCTGCTTCCAGGCTTCACTTTCTGGAAAGTCCTGGCCTAGGGTATTTCTAGATTAGCACTAATACATGTGCAAGGCTCAAAATCAGGAGGCACGAAATAATGAGCTATTGTGGTTAATGTGACTTGCAAGAACCCGCTTCCTTTCTGAAAAGTAAATGCTGTAGGATTTTCTCCCGACCAATAATAACTACCCCCTTCCCCAGAGAAAGCAGTGATTCCCGGCTCCTTGTATTTTCCAGGTTCATGACATGGGGAAGAAACTGGACTTCCTCGTGGATATGCACATGCAGCACATGGAGCGCCTCCAGGTGCACGTCACAGAGTACTACCCCACCAAGGGGACCTCCTCGCCCGTCGAGGTGGAAAAGAAAGACGACAACAGGGATTCCGATTTGAAAACCATCATCTACAACTATTCCGAGACAGGCCCCCCCGAGCCGCCCTATAGCTTCCACCAGGTGCCCATAGACAAAGTCGGCCCCTATGGATTTTTTGTCCACGACTCAGTGAACCCGCCCCAAGGAGGACCCAGTTCTGGAAAGCTTCAAGCGACCCTTTCCTCCTCGGCGACAGCGTATTTAGAAAGGCCCACCGTCCTGCCTATCTTGACTCTTCTCGACTCCCGAGCGAGCTACCACTCCCAGGCTGAACTGCACGGCCCCTGCTCGGACCGGGTCTCCCCCCAGCAGAGACGCAGCATCACTCGGGACAGCGACACCCCTCTATCCCTGATGTCAGTCAACCACGAGGAGCTGGAACAGTCTCCCAGTGGCTTCAGCATCTCCCAGGACAGAGATGATTATGTGTTTGGCCCAAGCGGGGGGTCGAGCTGGATGAGGGAGAAACGTTACCTCGCCGAGGGTGAGACAGACACGGACACAGACCCCTTCACACCCAGTGGCTCCATGCCTCTGTCGTCCACAGGGGACGGGATTTCTGATTCTGTATGGACCCCTCCCAACAAGCCAGTTTAAAAGGGGTCGTGGGCTGACTCCTCCTTGTAATGTAGACAGACGTTGTATAGCTCACTTACTCTCACATCCAACTCTTACCAGTGAGACCACCAATGGCTGCATCAAACGCATGCATGGGCGTGGTGGCCCCACCAGGGCACAGGCTTGTCATGGCCTTTTTCCTCCTCGTGTCACCACAATGAAGCCGCTTCCTTTTAAGCATGGTTTGCATGACTTTACACTATATAAATGGTACACTAATCTCTTCTAGGATACACATTTATCTGCTGTTCTTACTTTGAATCATGATCGGACCAGTACAGGGAGAAATTATCCATGAACTGTGGTATTTGTTTGTTTGGTTGGCCGGTTTGGGTTTTGGTTTGGTAAGCAGGGAAGGTAGTTTAAGTTATTTCTTGGATCACTGCCCCTTTGTGTCAAATACTCCAGTGATTAACTGTTTTCTAAAGCAAGCAAATAATTTTCTCGACAAAAATGCATTGCATATCAATGAGGTTGCCTACTGAGCTAAAACATTAGGAAAGCAATGAGATCGTCATTGCATCCCCAAAACCAAGAATTATAAAAATTATTTTTTTAAGGAAAAACTGGCAAAACCATCTAAAAGCTCGCATAGGGACCTCACTTGGTCTGCCCTTGTCTATCATAATGCCTCAGTTTCCTCATCTGTAAAAGGTGGTGGTAATCCCAAGTTAGCATTTTGGATAAGTTATGAATTGGTGAGGAGAAAACATACACACGCGTGTTAATATAGTTCCCAATTATGTAGCCAAAGATGATGAAATTTATCAGAAGCCTGTCTGGGAAGGAGCTAAGTTCTGTGCCTTCAAAATGAGGTTCCAGCTCACATTCCTTCCCATGATACTTGTACAAAATGTCCATCTCAAATGGAAATTAGAGTCAAGAAGGCACTGAAATTACCTGGTCTTTCTTTGTAAAAGTGAGAAACCTTTGAGACATGCCCAGGGTTGCTCCATTGTCCCCTGGAGAGCTGGAACTCAGAGCCCAGTCAGCTGACTAGCTCCATACCCTAGTCTCTGCCTACCGCACCACTCTACAGTTTACACAATGGGACCCAGAAATCGTGCCAAGATACTTGTGCTCTGTGTCATGTGGAAGTACTCACGACACAATTTATTCAGACAGGAGGGGGCTGTCTGCTTTTATTGCAAAACAGGGTCACTTGATCATTGCATTTTGGATCCAGAAAAAAAAAATAATACAAGCAAGCTACACTATTTACTAATATGCAAATGGGAAAAATTTCCAGCACCATCTAATTTTACTCCTCCAGATTTTTTAAACCACATATATCCATAAGACTAGCTAAAGTGTAAGCAGACAACCTGGAGAGCACTGCCCTACTAAATAAGTATTAATATTAAGCACAAGCCATCCTGTAGCATCTTATGAGTTGTTGCTACTCTCTGAAACACTTTGATGGAAAAGGTTTCTGCTAGCTTGGGTCGAATCAGCTATATGATATGCCACAGAGTTATTGTCTCACTCTTTTCACACATCTAAGCACTGGTTGTGGTTGGTTGCCATGATGACCGTCAGGATGATCGAAATGGCCTAGACAAATGTCCACATGCAAACGCCACTGATGATCTCCCTCACAGTCTTGTCAAAAGCCATAGTAGCTGTGGCAGACAGCTGGCTGATGGTTTCATCTTTACCTAACACACGGGTCTTGCACTGCGTTAGAGAGAGGAACTACTTTCTCAGAGATTGATTCCTTTCAACCCGCATGTCAGCAGGTACTGTGCAAAAGGCTCAGAGTACAGTGAAGGTTTGGTCCCCAACTTTAGGAACTTACAACCAAAGCCTGAATTCCCTGGCCAAGGGCAGGCATTGTGAGAGTTAGAAAGGGAGTTTTACACGGAGAGCCCCACGAATGGGTAGGTGTTGACCTTGAAGTCTTAGGTGGGAAATGCACAAGAATAACCACACACATCAGATATGAACCCCCCTCCCCTATGGTTTTCCATTTGCCCTTCCAGCAATCTGAAGGGCAAAGGGCATGGGTCATTTGTCCTTCTTTCAGCTCCCTTTAATATGCCTGAAAGTACCATTGAAGTTGGCCTAAGAAATCCTATGCTCCTTCCTTAGGGCTTGGTTCTTGATTCTGCCCTTCCCGGAATCTTTCACCAGAAATGGTTGAACTACCTACCATCTAACATGTTACTATGTTCTTCTTTATGTATGTGAGTTATTTTAAACAAAAACCAAAAAAAAAAAAAAATGGAGACTGAATCAAACTCTCCACATATGCACCAATTATTTTTTCCTAACATTAATATTCTTGCAGAACCTACTAGCCTCAGTAGCCCAAATAGACGCATTTGCCAAGAACTCTATAGAGTTCTCTGTTGGAAGAGTAAAACTTTCTTACTTCATGCTAAAGACGGTTACCATGGATCCAAAGTTAGAGGGCTGCCTTGGGTTCTTTTAATAACCTACCAAGTATTGGAGCTTGTATTATTTCCCAAACCCTAGGAGGGCAATCTAGCTTCCCTGCTGGATCATAAGGCCAAGATGGTAGGGATTGGGTTTGTGTTAATTACCACCATGTATCCAACATGTAGTAAATTGTCCTTATCAGTGTAGACAAAGACAAAATACACTTTTCAGGAATGAATAGTTGATAAGACTCTTAAGAGCTGTTGTTTCCCATCTAAGAAAACAAAAAAGAAAGAGAAAAATGATCTTCTGGAATATTCTGCTTTGATATCCTCTTTTTAAAAATATGTTCCAGAAAAGAAAACCAAACCTACTCAAGCTGCCTGCCCATAGACAACATCATCAACATGGCTGGCATTGATGAAGCAGAAATTCAAGGTTTAGGACCGAACATAAGTTACGGGGAGAGACAGTGTGTGCTTCCACAGAGATCTTTTTTCAGACAAAAGAACAGCATGATGGAATAATCCAACAGAATTGGTTAATAACATGGCCCAATATTACACTATTTCAGATATACCAGTGGTTCTGAAGCTTGCCCAAGAAATTGCAGTAGTTTTGGCAGAGTCCCGTGAAATAGTAACAAATTAATTCCATCATAAAAAATAGGAATGATTTTCTCAAGTGAAACTGTGATCCCGTTATGTTTATTTAGCCTCTGTGTGTCACAGTATGATATATGAAAATTTTAAGAGGTCATGTTTTAGCAGGATCAAAATTAATGAGATAAAACTACTTTGCAAGTGTTAGCTGGAAGATGATCCTGTTGGGCTGAGAATAAAGTACTCAAGATCAAGTGTGAGTTTGACTATCAAATACCAGCACACAAGCAAACACTGAAAGTTTAAGAAAAAAAATTGTGAGAGGAAACAAAAAAACAAATTGAGAAAGTTCTATTCACTAACTGTACTTTTTCTGGGAACTGAGAGCTTAGACTTATTAGACATGATAATGATGTTATAAAGCTCTAGTTTTCATGAAAACATATCTAGAAAACCCCAAGGTATACTCTAGTTCAAAAAGAGCTAATTCATCAACAGTTATGCATTATGCTTGCCTATTTTGTGCAAGGCAGTTCCTAGACACTGTAAGTGGAAAGAATAATTAGTTGTAGAATTTGATCCTACAGATCCTAATATAACAAGATCTACTCATAATTTGCCAAGACCCTTCTCCTAATTCCATGCCACTCTAATGAGAGTGTAATAAAAACAGTCATTTGTTTATTCATTTAGAAGACTTATAAAGCACCGCTGTCTTCTAGGCACTGCACAATGCACCAGAAATTCAGAGATAAGAAAACCACGGCCTGCCATCAAAAAGATAGGAATCTGGCGGCCTCAAATTATTGGGGGGTCCCTTCAAACTATGCCTGACTTCATCCCTGCAGACTGTTCTGTAGACAGATATGCTTTCAGGCTTGGAATCAGTGAGAGATTGAACATGGAAGAAAATGAAAGCAAACATTCTTCACCAAAATGGTAATGACCCCACCAGGGAAAGCTGAGTGGGTTGTATGGGAACTTCAAGTTTGGATTCAATGCTTTGGACTTTATAACTCCAGATAAGCTGTGCAAGAAGGAGGTTCTGGAGTTCTTGGAGAATCCAGATTTCTTTTCCTCTCAAATCCCTGCTGTGATTGAGGCCAGGCAAGGAGCTGAGCTACTTCCATTTCATCATGTTGACCAAAAGAGGCTTATGGTACAGACCAAGACACAGCATCTATTTCAAGAGAAAGGTGTCACTCTGCCTGTGGGAACCTGCAGATCAAATTCTCCTGGGGCAAGAGAAGAAATGTGCTCAGTGGCCTAAGAAGCTGACAGCGCTGCCAAGCACACCCCAGCCTTCCTCCAGAAGATGCCACAAAGCTGATCTTCGTCTTCCGTGAATACACTCCCAAGGCACCTAGAACCACAAAGATTTTCTTTGCTTCTTGAACCCCCGACAACCTTAAGAATCTGCCCTATGTCGTCACTTGTCTTGAAGGCTTGCTTATTTCAGGATGAACTTTTAAAAGACTATAAGTCCTTTCTTTGTATCCAGATCAACCCAAAGTTTTTGTGTTACTGATATTATACTATTCAAAACTGAGCCAATAGTCCCCTAAACAAGGCAGCAGGTAGCACCCCACCGATGCCCAGGTTAGAACATGTTAGGAACCAGGCTATTTGCATAGCTTTAGTAGTTTTGGAAACCAATAATGGAAATGTCAAAGAGAAAGGAAGGATATAGAGATGCCTTGGATGAAAATTTGAGTTTCAAGACATTCAAAAGTGTTTGACTTATCTGGTGTGTTCTGATTTCAAATGAGACAATCAGTATAAATATAAAGCCCCTAGTACGGTGACTGCCATATGCTGGGGACTGTTCTTCATGTTCTTTTTTTATATGTATGTGTGGACTCCATTGCTTCAGTTTTTGGTATTACCTATGAACTCTAAATTTACACCAGAAAATTATTTTCAGAAAGAGAGTGGTGGAGATACGATCTCAATTATTACATGACAAAATCAGGCACTTGCACATTTGTTATTTAAATAAGGACATCTCTACAAATAAAAATGCTTACTTTTTCCATCAAAATGAGGAAGAGCAGGGATGTTGGAATGAAGAGAGCAGGACTGTTGGATCCCAGTGCCTGGGTTGTGGCAGTCCACTTGACATACAATTACCAGATATGGTACCATTTTCTCAAAGGATGATTTGTAAGAGGTAAAGACAAATAGCAGGAATAATTAAATATGAAGGAACTAGTGGTTTCAATGAAGAAAGTCAACTGTGCCATGTCTCT